TTTTTTACAAGAAATGGCTCATTTTAATCCCAAAAGCTTTTGAAATAATGTTTCAGTGCAAAACTAAGCTGTCAAAAAGCATTCCAATATTCCCAGCTTGGTAAAGCTCATTGAGTAATTTTTTTTTTTTAATGAGACCTGGTCACCTGAAGTCCCTGTGTCAACCAGAACAGTTTGCCGGATTCCGTTTTAAAATGGCCTCTATGGCCGAATCCAGCACTAAACAAAAGACAACTGAAAAACCGTGTGGCATTTGCCAAGGCTCACAGCCTGCTAAAATAATGGACGCTGGAAAAGTGGCAGAAGGTGGAGTCTTCAGATTAATCTTCTGTTGAATTACACCATAGTCACCACAAATATTGCAGGAGACCTACTGGAGCCGGCATGGATCCAAGATTCACCCCGAAATCAGAGAAGTTTGGTGGCGGAAAAATTATAATCTGTGGTTACATCTAGTATGGGGGTGTGCAAGCAATCTGCAGGCTGGAAGGCAACATCAATAGTCCAAATAACAAGAAATCTTAGCTAACTCTTATATTCCCAACCATAAAAGAGGCCATATTCTGCAGCAGGATTGTGCTCCATCGCATACTTCCATCTCCACATCAAAGTTCCTTTAAAGTGAAGAAGATCAAGATGCTCCAGGATTGGTCAGCCCAGTCACCAGAAATCAACATTATTGAGCATATGTGGGCTAAAAGGAAGCATGGAAGATAACACCAAAGAATATTGATAAACTCTGGTTGGCATGCAAGACTAATTACTTCATTAATGAATCGTATCATTCCTTGCCAAACCGCATGGATGCAGTCCTTGAAGCTCATGGAAGTCATACAAGATATTACAGTTGCACACCACTACTTAATTTGCTGACATTTTTTGTACTTGCATTAATTGTGTTACATTTCTGTATAAGTGACAACACATTTGTTTTGAAACGTATGACCAAATTGTGACCTTTCTGTTATGATTAAATAATAAATTAAAATTTGCAGTGAAGCTAATTTATTTCAGTGCATTATAACATAATTTGGGAGGGTTTTAGCTTTTTATATGAGATATTTCCAACACCAATTAATTAATTAAAATCCAGGTTAATAGCAGGTGTTTCTACAAAATAGGTAAGTGGCAAGACTTTTATCAGGGACTGTAGAGTATGTCTGGTATATTAGACTGCCAGCTGACGATCCACATGGCTGTTTGGAAAGTGCCTGTAGTTGGTTGACTTATCGAATAGAATGCCTCCTACCTTTGACTTTTAAGACTTGTTAGTCACCACTTTTGTGTAGGTTTTAGGACATCATGGAAATATACTATATATTTGTCTGATTTTCTAAGCATATTTAAACATCAGGATTGTTTTTATTGATCACATGTCACAGAAAACACATTTCAAATATAAAAAGATTGATAATTATTTTGAACTTTCTACTGAAATAGCTTCCACAAATACTGTATATGAAGCAATATATAACCACCTTTAAACCCATTAATGATGCTAAATGTTTCTTCAGCTGCGATTCAGAGTGAAGGATTTCCGAAGGATCTTGAAACAATAATTGTAAGACTGCTAAACATCCAGCTTTGCTGTCATATAGGATATTATTTAATTTTAAAACGTGCATATAAATAGAATGCTGTTTTTAAATAGAAAGTGTGAAAAGGATTACACTACAAAGCTATTTAATGTAGTTTAACCCCATTTTTTTATTGGTAATGTGCACAAAAATGGAGAGAACTCTTGCTAAAAACATTGGTCTGTTATCTGGATGTCTGTTGATGCGTCCAAATTCACATACTTAAACTACATACTACTTCCTCATTAACAGATCGTTATATTGTTTAATTATGTCACTTGTCAATCATCTCGACACATCATCCACATTTCTTTTAGATTTATTTTATTGGAAAAGCAGCAGCAGCAGGTTACTCTGCCATTCGCAAGTCTTTCATGCAGAAAAATTTCCTCAGCTCCTTGGGTAATTATTCATTCAGAAGTTAATGTCCAAATATATCTTGATATGAGTTCTTGTTGCTGTAGATGAAATGTAACACGTAAAACGCGGTTTAAACATGTTCCAGTTGGCTAGATATTGATTAACAGTCATACAAACATCTTTACTGAAGTCTCTCTTGATGGTTGGTTTCGCGTGAGTTTACCTGAGTTTGTAGTTCTAATCAAATTCACGGCCAACGTGCAGTGTATTATTAGTGTATTATCAGGCAATATTAGTGCTTATAGTATGGATGCTTCTACACTTATAATTAATAAACCTTTGGCATACTCTTTTCAACATACTATGGTTTGTGACATACTAATTCTATTTTCGAATACTGTTTAGGATGGATAGTATGCAAATTGGGATGGAGCATGTCTGTTATCAATGTTTTAGAAAAGTGGGATAAAGCATAATGCAAGAAACGAGCATAAAATCATAAATGTAATAATGGTAGTCTGTAACAAGATATTTGTGTGTATTTGTGTGGAGACACATCATTAAAGAGAATCTGTATGAGTGGGCTCAAGCAACCTGAGCTCCTTAAATGTTGCTTTTTTCCACACAAAATAGAGAATTTTAACTCCATAGAGTGGATATGTATACTCTGAGTCTGATGTTGCAATCTGGATGTTTTCAATTGTAACTATTCTCTTTTGGCTTTATTTTTTTATTTATTTATTTATTTATTTATTTATTTATTTATTTATTTATTTATTTATTTATTTGTTTGTTTATTTTGTATTTGGCAATTTCTTGCTCTGCATGTACTGTATGTGTTTTATTGTGCTTTGTTTTATAGTATTTACAGTGCATGTACTTACAGTCTACCTAAGAGCACTAGAGCACTAGATAATATATAGTAACCTGTGGTTTAAGGTACACTGTAAAAAAAATACTGGTTACCTTAAAATTTGAAGCTGAATCAAATTAACATTATGAGTTCATTGAACTTATATTATGTTAAACTGACTTAAATCAGCTTGCACAACTTATAAAATTACATTAGAACATGATTAACTTAGTTTAATAAGTAATAATGATCTAAAATATATGCTGTCATGACTAATTGATCATGTAATCTTTTACAGTGTAGGATCAGAGTTAGTACTTTTGTAATTGCTAATAAAAAAAATAAAAAATAAGCAGACCAGTAATGTAATGTTACCAGTGTGGCATGCATTTCATAAGAACAGCACCTTCAACAGTTTGAGCTATTAGAATGGTTACCCACACCTCCACGTTTTTAATGATTTTGCATGTCATTAAACTATGCAAGACAGTGGTTGTGTGAGGATGTTTTTTTTTCTTTTTTTCCAACAGCGCTTTTAAAGAATTTGATTGATTTTAAGTACTATGAGAGCTATTCATTTCTCCCCTTTGTTGTCAATTAGAAATCAAAAATAGTACATTTGAGTTTGGAAAATGTCTCGTTCAGTATACTGATGGAGCCTGATGCTTTCAAATTAAGGCAAAATCGTTGGCTTTTAAACTTTAAATGTGTTGTGTTGTGTGTGTGTGTGTGTGTGTGTGTGTGTGTGTGTGTGTGTGTGTGTGTGTGTGTGTGTGTGTGTGTGTGTGTGTGTGTGTTTTACTTTTTTTGTTCAAAGCTTCTTCCCTTGTGTGTGTAGCAGGTGAATGATTGCCTTTTGAAATTTTGGGTTTCAGTAATTTTCAGTAAAATCGAAAATGTTTTACTCATCGATGATGGATTAAATTTATCAAAAGTGACAGCAAAAACATTAATAATTTCTCCTTAACTTTCCCTTTTCAAAAGCGCTCTATTGATTTCCGCTGTTCAGATTTTACATTTAAATTAGTAAAGTATTAAATGTCACACAATAGTTTACAATAAAGTACAAACCCTGTCAAAAAGTATGGAATCACCGCTCTTGGAAGATGTTCATTTAAGTGTTTAATTGTGCAGGGAACAAAAAACAAGCACATACATGCCATAGTTTTTATTCAACAATCCAACCGTCTGGCTGCATGAATCACACACAGAAAAGACAGTAGTCAATTACAACTGTTTTAACAGATCAAACAGAGAAAACAAATATGGAACCACACAAATTTGAGGAAAATACATACACTGTTTACCCATAGCGTTTACATGGTCATAATACAGCAAGTAATACAACAAGCATTTAGTTTGGGCTAGCTTTTGCAGCTGGACATTGCTTTACAATGCCCTTGATTGGTGAACATTAGCCAGTGGGGGAGTGTCTTTTTTGTCTCCCTAGGTGTGAATTATTCATGACCATTGTCACTCCCACGCATACAGCTGAGCTGACCCAAAATAGACTTTACAAAATGTAAATCATTGTAAAGTTTTTGAACAAGAGAACAACAATTTTCACATAATTGTGAAGTAAATATTTTAGCCTACAAGACTAGTTACTCAAAAGTCTTGCTCGGGACCATTCAGAGTGTTTGTTTGGACCTTATTTCTGCTACATTGTTTTTACAAAGCCTACCAACCACGCATAATATTTTTTTTTACCAAACAACGCAAGCATGTACATCAATATTTCTCATATAATATTGTAGCACAGTTTGTGCTGAATACAAAAAATAAAAATAAAAATACATGTTGGCCAATACTATTTAATAAGCTGAAATAAGCACAAATGTCAAAACATCTTAGGGACCCCAAAATCACCTATGACCCCAGAGGGTTACTATCACCTAAAACAAAATAACCAATTCTGAATACTATACTCTACTCATCCACATATTGTAGATTAAAAATCCCCCAAAATAACTTCCTTTAAAAAAGCATATTTATTAACAGCACTAATAGCCATTATATTATAATGATGTCAAAGGATTTTCATAAAATAATTTATTTTATACTTTAACCTTGTTGAGACGTCTTCCAAAAAACATTACAAAATGTACTGATCCCAAACCGCATGTGTGTGTGCAGCTATTTAAATGATTCAGCTAAACTGACTGTGATTGGTTGGTCACAGTTGGGCTCCTGTGTGTGTGTATTTACAGAACAGGCCTCCAGCGGTACAGGGCTCCCAGCACCAAAGCCACTCTCCAGCATGTATGAACCCGGCCCTGATGAGCTCCCCCTGGGTGAGACAGAAACACGGGGGCCGCGCCATACCAAATCGTCTCTGTCTCTCCACAACTGATTCGCCACACTCTGTTACGTCTTCATCTTACATGCTGCTGCTTTTAGAAACATCCCATGCTCGGCTGAAACAGATGGCTGTTCTGCTTAGATCGCATGCAAATGCAAACTTTAAAACTTGTTTCTCTCTAGATTTGGAGTGTGTCACCAGCAGTGCTTTGCTTCATTGCGTGCGCATGCGGTCGCTTCTAGAAATATATAAATCTTCATTATTCATCATGATTTTTCTGTTATTATCACTTCTTACAATAATGAATTATCAGAGCTTTTTTGTGGCTTTTTCATCAGGGTTCAAACCTCATTGGCTGAATGTCATGCTTTCTGTTGTTGCATTGTAGAATTTTGCAGTTTTTAATTTACATTATATTTCTTCTGCTTTCTTTCTCATTGTCTTTTATGTTTTCTTCATATAGTACCGGTATCAGGACGATGATTCCCCTCCTCCTGAACATAGCTTTCCTCGGCTCACCAATGAAGTTCGAGCGCCGGAGTTGGTGCACGTGTCGGAGAAAAACCTCTCAGAAATCGAGAATGTGCATGGTTATGTTTCCCACTCTCACATTTCACCACTTAAGGTAAGTGGTCTTTCTATTTTTTGTTTTTTTGCCACCTGATGAGTAACATGTTGGCCTTCTTTATATTGTCTTTATACTGGCCTATATACAGCTGAAGTCAGAATTATTAGACCCCCCTTTGATTTATTATTTTTTATTTTGTAAATAATTCCCAAATGTTGTTTAACAGAGCAAGTTCACAGTATGTCTGATAATATATTTTTTTTCTGGAGAAAGCCTTATTTGTTTTTATTTTGGCTGGATCAAAAGACATTTTTAATGTTTTAAAAACATTTAAAGGTCAAAATTATTAGGCCTCTTTAAGCTATATTTTTTTCAATAGTCTACAGAACAAACCCTCATCATACAATAACTTGTGTAATTACCCTAACCTGCCTAGTTCACCTGATTAACCTAGTTAAGCCTTTAAATGTCACTTTAAGCTGTATAGAAGTATCTAGAAAAATATATAGTCAAATATTATTTACTGTCATCATGACAAAGATAAAATAAATTGGTTATTAGAAATGAGTTCTTAAAAATATTATGTTATGAAATGTGTTGAATTTTTTTTTTCTCTCCGTTAAAAAAGAAATTGGGGAAATAAATAAACAAACAGGGGGGTTAATAATTCAGTGTGGGGGGGGGGGGTTAATGATTCTGACTTCAACTGTTGTTTGTCTGCTTTTTTTTTTTGTGTGTGGTTTTCCATATCATGTATTCATACATCATTCATATACTACAGCATTAGAAATGCTGTGTTGTAATATGACTTCCTAACACTAGATGGAGCTCAGTGGTTAGTTTTAAAACGGTGTATTGTGGATTGGCTCTGTTGGATATCCTGGTTAGTCATGATTGATATTTAAATATATATCGCATTTTATTTTGTGGTACATTTATCAAGCGCAGTGAAATATAATTATTTTGTTTTGTTTTCTATTTTTTATTAGTTTTAAATTGTGAGAATATGGGAAAAAAAGTTAACTTACAAGAAAGGTAAAATTACCAGAAAATGTGGAAATGTGTGTGTGTCTGTGTGTGTGTATGTGTGTGTATTAATAATAATTATTGTATAAATATAATTATTACTATATTTTATTTTAACAACAACAACAATAAATAATAATAATTATTATAACAGCACCAGTGATAATTATACTACTACTACTAATAATAATCATTATTATTATTTTATAATTATTATTTTATATTATTATTATCACAACAACAACAACAATAATAATAATTATAATTATTATTATTATTATTATTTTTGTTGTTGTTTTATAATTATTATTATAACAGCAGCAACAATAATAATAATTATTTTTTATTTATTTAAAAAATCTTAAAATATGTAATTTTTAAAATAAATTTAGTTATTTATGGCTGTGTTGCTTTAATGTCACTGACTAATTATTTCAGTTTATATTCTTAAATTAGATTTTAAAATGTTTTGTTTTAATCTTAAAGAGTTAAGCATTTGTTTTTTTTTTTAATTATATTTTTTATTGTTTATAAAGTTTTTCGAAATGCACATCCTACTAATTATATAAGTGAATTCATCATGCTTTTTCACACATTTATTATCTAAAAAATGCAAGTAAAACATTAGATTTGTGCCTCTTAGTCCTCTTTTCAAGTCATGAAAAAAAAAGTGTTTTTTTTATCCCACAACTACAAGCTTTTGTTGCTTGTTTATTTATTTTCCTGATCAGATATGGCCTTGCCGGAGTCACGCTCTCTGCCAGAGAGACATTAACAGCCTGTGCATCATCTGATTGTCTGCAGATGATTCAAAAGCTCTGTGCTTTTATTTGATCTGAGCGAGTCTATGATTTTATTCCAAAGTGTATGGGCCCGTCTGAAGCATTAGGCTCATCAGGATTCTGCACTGTCATCTCTTGTGTAGACATCGTATTAAGACCTCAGTCTTTAGATTTCGCCAACAGCCATTCCTCTAACATCCTCTATCCCACAGACATGATTTCTCAGAGCATACCATGTCGAGCTGAATACAGGATGGTACTTGATAGTATTGCTAAAATAAAATTTACACTGACCTATTGCTTGCTGTTTTTACAGAGCTAGGTGGGTGATACTAATAAAAGTTTTTAATCTGCTATTTGTAAACACTTGTTATACATGGTTGAAGTCAGAATTATTAGCCCTCCTGAGTTATTAGCCTCCTTGTAAATTTTTCCCCAAATTATGTTTAATGGAAAGATTTTTTTTCGACACATTTCTAAATATAATAGTTTTTATAACTCATTTTTAATAACTGATTTATTTTATCTTTGCCATGATGACAGTAAATAATATTTCACTAGATATCTTTCAAAACACTTTTACAGCTTAAAATGACATTTAAAGCCTTAACTAAGGTACTTAGGGTAATTACACAAGTTATTGTATGATGATGGTTTGTTCTGTAGACAATCAAAAAAAAAAAATGTTTGAAAGAGCTAATGATATTGACCTAAAAATAAATCAAAACTGCTTTTATTCTAGCCAAAATAAAGCAAACAAGACTTTCTCCTGAAGGAAAAAATATTATCAGGAATACTGTCAAAAATTGTCCTTGCTCTATTAAACATCATTTCGGAAATACTGAAAAAAAGTAAAAATAATTTTGACTTCAACAGACTTCACACAGGCATTTTTAGTTGCATCTCACATTTTCTTACACCTTGAATGTTGCATTTAGCTTAAATGCCGTTCACCCATTAAAAAAAAAAACATGTCAGGATCTATGCTTTTTGTCGAATTCTTGTCTGTCTTGCTCAAATTGGGCTCACATTTCAGGAGTTTCAGTTTAGCTCTCTCAATGATTATCTAGTACAGGGTGTTCCAGAGTGAGGCATGTACAAAACCTCCTGTTATTGTGCCTTGGTTTGAAACATGTTGGATTTAAAATCAGAATGATTATGGCTATGCCTACGAAAGTACTTGGGCAATAGTTAATACTTGACCATGATTCAAGGATTTCAATACTCCAGAATTCTGAGCCCGTCTGAAGTAGTTCTTAACTTTTTTTGATGGCAAGATTCCTCAACATCATTCAAAAGCTCAACAATATTTACAGATGTTCCTGATTTACTGGATAAGAAGGATTATTTGTTTTGTTTTGTTTTAATTTTTATTTTGTTTTGTTTTATTAGATTTTTTTTGTTTTGTTTTGTTTTATTTTTTGTTTTGTTTTATTTTTGTGTTATTTTTTATATTTTTTATTTTATTTTATTTTAGTTTAGTTTATTTTTATTATTATTATTTTATTTTAGTTTAGTTTTTTTGTTTTTGTTTTAGCCTTGTTTTACTTTTAGTTTTATTTTATGATCTTTTTAATAAAACTATTGTTTTATTTTATTATTTTAGTTTTTTATTTTATTATTTTATTTTTGTTTTTTTTGTTTTATTTTTGATCATCTTAGGTTGTCAGAGCCGAACGTAACCTTAAAATCAATGCCTCATCTTACCATCTTTTTCATTTCTTCTCATGGCTCATGCAGTTTTTCTGCGTCTTCATCCTCTCTCCTGCTGTCTCCTCAGCCTCTCTCTTCCCTCCTGAGTGCAGTCGACTTTGCTGGTGACGTTCTTTTTGTATTTTCTCACCTGCAGCCTGCGCTGGTTACCCGGTTTGATCTAACATACCCGGGGGTGACCGCAGCAAACTACCTGGCAAGTTTGTGATCTTCATTCTGAATGTGTCTGTTTTCCCCGTTGTTTTTGTTGTTGATGTTGTCGTTGTTGTTGTTGTTGTGGTTCATCCGTACTCAGGAACATTACGTCTGTGCCAATGTTCCGACTCCGTTGTGACATCCGCATGAAATTCTTCACAGGGTCTGACAAACAAGTCTGGAAACAAAAGCTCCCTTTGAAGAAACCCATTTGTGCAGTGAAATCACATTTGTTTTCTTCAAATATGGTTGACTTGAAATCAGTTGATGTGCTGTTTGTCTTTTTGAATATTCCACCCGTGATTAATATGTTGTCCAGTATGATTGCTGATGATGGTGTTTATTGTATTTGAATTACACAGACATTGAAAGAAGGCCTGTGACTGACAGAGCAGCTCACTGTTGCGAAATACTGATTTGAAAGTGGGAGGTTATATCAAACATCTCTGTATGATGGCATATTAAACACCAGCTGAACTGCTTTGTTTACTTGGGCAACTAAAGGAAACACTGTTATTCCTGCAGCTTTTAAAGTCTGTTGCTGTCTGAAATCCCTTCCTACTCAGTACAAACTACATTTGAATTTGAATTTGAATTTTCCACTCAACCATTTGAGAAGTGCATTCTGTGTAGTATGAATGTGAGTAGTATAAATGAAACTTGGAAGCAAATATGGGAAGGAAGTACAAATACTTTGTTACTGTACTTAAAGGGCCATGACACCCCCCACTTTTAGTTTAAGTCTACCTCAGACTTAATGGGCGTAGAGCTCCACGATCACATGCAGGAGTGGGTATGGCCAGCAGTGCAGGGGAGAAGGAGGGAAGCGGACAACTGTTGTCAGTCAGCTCACAAAATGAGACACAAACCGTGAGGAGACTCATTATTTTATAGTTTACAAAGTTTAAATGCAAAGAAATAAACAGTAATTTAATGCCCTGCTACATTTGTTATTTGTAATTTCATACACACAACCAGAATTTATATCATCATAAAGATAATCGTGTTTATATGAACACTAAATGAGGACTTTTCCCTCAATCCCCGGGTCTGAATGCAGACTCAGTGCAGCAGGTCTTTTGCTCTGTCTATTTTGATCATTAGCCCTGCTGGTAATCTGGAGGATTAAGGAAAACAGCATGATGATGTGTCTAAATGTAAACTCCACTGATAAAAGACAACGTCCGCCATTCTCCAATTCTCATACTGCTCTCCCGACAAAAATGCTTGCTGCACATAAACAGCTTTGCTGTATCGGCCCTGACAGCATCGCGGGGAAAAACATGCAACAAACCCTGTGGATCATGCAAACAAACAAATACGACCCTTCATGAACAGCTAAATACAGTGTGCCGTGGGTCTGTGGAAGCAGTTTCACACAGTCATCAAGGTAGGATCTCACAGCTTGGCACTGGCAGGTCTACCTTGCTTTCGAAAAGCACGCACAGTCATGAATAACTAAGAAGCAGGCTCCTCTCATATGATAAGAAAACTCAGCTATGAATAATAATGAGAAACCGACGCATCATCTTTGCACTTGCAGTTTTGCTCTACATCACCGATTTTGATACCGCCCTAAAAATTATTTTAAACCCGGAAAGTAAAATTAGTTGACAAAAGCTCAAAATTATTCAGTTTACCCCACAATTACAGCTAATAGGTGATAACATTGTCTTAAGTGATGCTCAACACACACAAATCACAAACAAATGAGGGTTTCTTGAAACCTTAAGTAGATGATTCTGGTATCAGTACTTTACTCCACTAGGGATGCAACGATTATAGATTTTAGTTGTAAGATTATAGTCTGAGAAATAATAACGTTTATCACGATTATTATGCATTCATTCATTTCAAAACACTGCTAGTTTAGAAAAATCACATGAAAGCTCCTTTTATTTTAATGGGTTCTTTATTGCTGCTCGGTAACCAATTAATACAGCACATAATGATACTAAAAACAAATAATAGTCCATTTCTCTCTTTGTCCTTAAAAATAAGATAAATTTTGTCATTTAAACACAATTAATAGTTTTACACTGTAAGTAAATTACAGAACAAAGCATAAAAAAAATAAGAAGAAGAATAAAAAATTGTATTTGTCAAATGCAGAGCTTGAAATTAACTTTTTTACTTGGTAGCACCGGCGCTCCTGGCTTCACAAATTTAGGAGCATAATAATACATTTTGGAGCACCCACCAAAAATGAATGAGCACCATTGCAAATTCTATATTAACAGATTTATTGTATTTGAAAACAACATCAATCAGGACTAACAAAAACAAGAAACTACTATCTAATTCTGTTATGACTTAGAATTATTAGATATTCCAAAATAAATATCTGATAATTATAGAACATTAACGATAATGATGATGACAATAATACTAACAATGAGTTACATTTCTCATTATCATGCTGCCTTGAATGTGCTTGAATGTGATTTATCTGCAATAAAAAATCCTACTGTGACTTTATGGAAATTAAATCTATGGTTTGCACCAAACAAAAATAAAGAAATGAAGTAAGAAATACCCTTTTTGCACTACTATTGCATGTCAATTTAAGAAACAGGAAGATCGAACAAAAGATCGAGCAAGTAAAGTCTCACTTTTGTCACTCTCTAAAAGTTTTGGTTTCGGTTTGTGTAAATTTAAGTGTTCAGTACTGCTATGCGCCGATTTACACTTTTCTGTTTTTGTGGAAAAAAGCAGGCGAGTCAGCTTAGTAAAGGCGTGCTTATTTGGCTATAATGGATACAGTGTTAGATTTTACATTTAGCGGCCATTTGCGCTGAACATGCAGCTCATCGAGATTGAAATATAAATAAAACATGAATAAAAAAGAAAAATGCTATGAACATTTAGTGGTGCTACTTAAGGTTAGAGTCATTCTTTCTGTTTTGATATGCGTGATATTTGCAGCCTGATCTCATGAGGAAATGTAAGTCTTTACGTTTTGTCAGTTGTCAGTTTAGTGGCTAATTTGTACAAACATGTATGCGTATAGTCGTACAAAACTGTATGATTTTTAAAAGGGAGTCGTAGCACCCAAGCCCACCTCGAAACTCAACCGTCATGGAGGCATAATCAAATAATCCTGAATTGTACTAATTTGATCATACAACTAAATCAAAGCCACTAAATCAAAAAGTTACAAATTGCCTTGAGATTGTGTTGGATATTTAACCAAAATGGTCTGAGGTCAGTAGTGTGCTAATGTGTGTAATTATTTGGCTATATTGTATACATTGTTAGATTTTACATTTAGCGGCCATTTGCGCTGAACACGCAGCGCATCAAGATTCAGGTCATTAAACAGCGGATCCACTGAGTCTTTCAGCACTCTTTCTGAAAATGGTTGATTTCAGCTTGGCGAACGTAATTGAGACAGATAATCAACAATGAAAACATGACTGATGTCTTATTTATAACTGGTAATAAGATGCGTTTTGGTTGATTGGATCACAGGTAAACAAGAGACTTTAAAACAAGAGCCAGATATATTAATGGTATGTTTGTCTAAAGCCCATTATTGACACTGAAATGCTGTTTCTCTTAACTGTCATCTATTTACATCTTAGATGTCATATTTAATCTTAAATTTATATATATTTTAATGATAAGATTTTTCCTAATGTTGAATATTAAAGTATTTTTTTTTCTTAGAGGCTACGTTAAATTGAAATCAAAATCTCAGCAAATTTGCAGTATCAGCCATGAAAAATTAAGATCGGTGCATCACTATAAAGAACCTGTGAATGTACAAGATGTACCAGATCTCATATTAGCATTCAGTAATGTTGCACAGTCTGTATAGCAGGTACAGTTTGTGTCACACTTCTGGTATCACCATACCTTATGAGGCCATCCAGGACTTCTTATATGCGCACACACACACACTTCAGCCATGCTCTCTGGATCTTCAGTCTGTCAGTTGTGCTAATGCTACAGCCTCTGTAGACCATCACCATAACAGCCCGTCATCTCTTAAGTCTTTCGACTTACACCTGAGACACTCAAGCGAAAATTAGCTAACAGCTTCAATGTGTCGATCTATTACTCCTAAAGATTAAAGTTAAAGATCAAACTATTTCTTTAAATGATATATATAATATAAACTGTATTTATGTAAATTTTTTTTAAATTATATATAACCAAAAATAAATATCTGTAGCAATATTTTATATAAATAACATGTTATTAATATACAATTATTACATTTTTTTGCTATAAAATTGATCTTTCTGCTGTTTATTATGTTTATTTTTTCATATTTTCATTTGATTAACACGTATACTATTATAATTTATCATATTACAATATTATATAATATAATTCTGGGAAATGCTATTTAAAAAAAGACACTTCAACCGTAAAAGTTTGTATTTTTTAAATGATATAAAATGTAATTAATAACTGTAATAAGATGTACACATTGTATTAGTAATATTCATTTGATATTTTTTAGTAATTTATTATTAAAATTATCCAATAGTATTTTAATAGTGTCACATAAAACCAGTATTATAATATTTAATATGTAAATGTTAGATTATTAAAAAAGATGAATCTATTATTTAATTTGTCTAACCTGAACATTTATATGTTCTGACAGATTTAATTACTTGAATGCATAAATACTGTATACTCATTCATGTGCTTTAAATGGAGTTGAATGGAAAACATATCGAAAGTATTTAAAAGTATAGTATGATGGTGCCTTTAGCCTCATGCGGTACATTTTCATCATTTAATGAATGTTGTGCATACATAATGGTTAGAGCTTTTGAAAAACACTAAGCACAGTCTGATTAGCTGGATTTATTAGTTGCAAGTAAATAACATCCCCTTAAGCACAACTGTGTTTTCTTTTTGCTCTCAGGGTTGCATCAGATTTTTGATTTATTTATCTCTAAATTGCGCTTGGTTGTTTTCTATTTTAAAGCGAAACACTGCCAGCAAAACATTGCTTTTTCATGCACCTTTAAATTTGGAGAT